GAATATAGTTTTTGTTCTTTCAATATTCTTCTTAAGATATTTTCATTGACTGTTAATAATATAATTTTATTATTATTTAAAAATGTTTAATAGCATTTATCTTTCTATTGAATGAACCATTGTATTATTTGAGAATATATTTTATGCAAGCAGATATTGATTGATTGCATAATGGAAACGTTATATTTAGTTAAATATACAATCAGATTTTATCAAACTCGCATGATGTTGTTGCGAAGAAAAATAGTGATTGAAATGGTTAGAATACATTTTTCAATGTTCTAAATCACGTAGTTTTCGATATTTTCATAGATATCAGAGATGACAACTAGTGATCGATTGATTTCCTGAAGTTGAAATATGATTTACATAAAAGCACAGGAACTATTCTCAAGATCTCACACTTCAGTGATAATCAATATCAGTGTTTCTGAATAGATCGAAATACATAATACTACGTAAAGATCTGCTTTAGATATAACGAATATGTGCAACAGATTTGTTTATCGGGTAAATCAATGGCAAGCAAAATAATCACACTAAAGTATGATTTATTAGAGCAGCTCCTCTGGTGCTAAAATGAGAAGTTCATATGTAATCTTTAGCCGCATTATACTAATACAAAATATATCGAGGGAAAAGCGTCTAGCAAATCATAGTTTTTTTTCCTAAGAATAATCAATCGACAGAGGAACAATGCCTGTTATTGATTTCTACATCTCGAACAGAATTTTTTTCTTCTTTTTTTACTGACAAATAAACCTGTTGTACATATCCATTATATCCATAGCAGCTCTCAGCACATTATTATACATCTCGATCAGTTCACGTATTTTATGTTAATCACATGATCATCGTGACAAGTCAATACATCCTTACCAATTATTCTAGATACGATTTAGTATAAATTTTTATCTGTACAAAAACAAAAAAAGCTGTACTACTTAGAACACTTACAAACGTTTTTCAGTCATTAAAATGTCAAGGAAGCCCTTGAAATATTTAGAATTTTCTAGAACAGTCTACTCTCTTAAAAGTATATGCGAATTACAAAAAAAGAAAAAAAATTCTGTTTGAAATGTAGAAATAAACAAGAGAGAGCGTGCTCAGACTATCGTCTGTTAGAGATTTTTCATTTTACTTGTTTTTGTATTAATATAATCAAGCTCAGAAAGACATTGAGTTTCACATTTTAGTCCCCAAAAAGCTACACTGATAACTTTTTATTTAAATTTTAGAATAAAATTCTTAATAGTACATGTAATATGCTAAAAGAAAATTCATTATAATTATAATAATTTTCAGCTAGTAATTATTTTAAATAGAAAATAGGATCATCGTTCTTTTTGTTATTCGAAATGTTTTCGTGTGTTAATTGTGCATTGTTCTTTTAATGATGAACCATAATGAATAAGTTGATCCGTTGAATAATCCACTAAAAAAAGTTCATAACCAGATGTTAATATCATATCGTAAAGAGTTGGAAAGGTCATTGACATGTTCCATGAAGCAAGTTCACCTCCATAAATTCGATCATACACACGAATACCAAATCCTAACATAAGTACCCAAAGACGATTACCACAGGAATCAACGAATAAAGACATGGGTATTTCTGTGCTATTATCATTTGAAACAAGAACAGACCAAAGAAATGTTTTAGTAGATAATTGATAAATTGTTGCTGTATCTCCACTAACATAAATCATTGTATCATCATTTGACTTTGCTAAACCATAAGGTTTATTAAATGGAACCAATATTGTTTGATTATATGTATAATTTAATGATGATGGATACCAATTAAGAAAAACTAATGTTGAAGTTTGATTTTTTTGAATGATAAGACACATTATTGAATTATTATGAAGCCATATAGCGCGTTGAGGATCACCTTCTGGAACAGGCATATCAAAAATACGTGATAAAGTTGTATTATAAGTGTAAAAATAATACGATGAAGTTGAAATTGAAGGATTAATACCAACATAATAAACTCTGTCATGATAACTAATTGGTTGTGCATTGGTTTTTGTAAATAAACTTTTTTTACCAGTCATATTTATTGTTGCTTCTCTTTGTTGTATTGATCTTCTACTTCCATAAGTTAATATTAACATGTTAAGATCATAATCAAGTGCTAAACCAACTGGTTGTGTGATATTAACCTTGTGAAATGTGTTTGATTGTTGGATCTTATTTATCAGCCATGATATATCTGAACAACATATTGATTTTAATTGATAAATAAAATTTTCTGTTAAAATATAAATTATAGAAATTTGTGATGACATTATATAAAATGTTGCATTTGAAGAATAGGTATTTGGTATTAATTGACATGTTTTATTGTTTAAAAAAATATTAAATGCTACAATCGATGGTTGCGTATATTGAAGAGCTTGACACATACATTGAGACCACGAAGATTGATTGTATAACCATATACTAGCTGCTTCTACTGTTATCAATTGTGCTTCAGATACGGTACCATAAGGAATACTGATTGTCAAAGTAGGAATTAATGTTATCAATAAAATGTAATAAAACATGATAGAATGAAATGAGGTTAAAAATGGAAAATATACGTAAATGTTATATGAATAGAGAAAAGTGCATTTTGAGCTTATTTCGAAGGTTGTGATCTTATATTTAATGTAGTTTCAAGTAGTCACATATAAGTGTAATGATCACTCCGGAATCAACATGATGAATGGCTAGGAGACAGAACCTATCTTTATGTATGTCCTACGGGCGATATGATGAACTTTTTTGAATGTGAAGAAAAATATGTTATTAGTGATGACAATGGCAAAGAGATAAAGAAAATGATGAAACTGTTTTTTTTTCAGAAGTAGTTTGCATTTACATAAGTATATCTTGAAAATGTTATTTTTTAACAAGTTTTCTTTTTGTCTTACTCTCTTATCATGTATCTTTAATATAAAAAAAATCGACAATTCAAATTTCTCAAAAGAGTTTCGCATATATCTAATATTTTTTGAGAACCTACCTGAAACCACCGAACTTCAATTGTGAATAGTTAGTGAAGATTGCTTTTGTTTATGTAGATTATTATATATGTTAAATAAGTCTGTTTCTCTTTCGCTTTCGTCGAGTGCACAAGGTAAATCATAAATAATAGTATAATAAGACAAATATAATATCTCCACTTTAATTCACTCAAACTAGCCGAATGTTTGTTGTTGGTAGAGATTTCTTTGAAGATTCTTTTTTTCATAAATGAAGTATAGAAACCAATACTGTTGTAAATGGTTATTATTGATTTCACTAAAGAAATGTAATCTGTTGTTAAGTAAGAAAAATATATGTCGACATATTCATAAATTATTTTCAACTTTCACTTCAGATAATAACAAGAGAGAATGTAAATATGGATTGGCGAATAGAACATTCATATTACGATCGAATGCGAACACGCTGTAAAGAATTAATGTGTTGTGTTTTATCAATCTCAATATTCTATATTGACCCATATTTAATTGTCTATGCAAAAGTATCTATTAATATGACAGATTCAATTATTAAATATTCAATGTTAGGGATTGATCGGGTTTATTCTGCTTTCGCTGCCCCTGAAGTTCGTGGTCATAACATGAACGCTATCAATTGCCTTACTGACAATAGATTTTGTGGTCTACCTCTCTCTTTCCTGAACTCTCGGATAGTCCTCCTGAAAAAGAAAACAAATAAAAAAAAATGAGAAATGATCGATCAATGATAATGCTGCGTTAAAAAAATAGTGTTTCGCAATGGTTTCGATTTTCAAAACACTGTTTTTAAATTTCATAGTGGTGCATGAAATCTTTTTTAATGTTTGTATTGCACCATCTCTTTTTAGTATAGTAGTTTCGGTTCAGTAGTAAAATTTGGATATCATTTGCTTTATGAGCGAGAGTTCAAACCAATGAAAAAACATTGCTTACGTAATACTCCCATGATTTGATATTTAAAGTGTATTATTAGAAATATCATTACAATTATTAGCTGGAAACATATTTATTTTATTCAGCAGATGATAATGCATCATTGATTGCTACAAGTTTACAAAGCCCAAGATCAGATACGTGCATGTCACTAGATTGCACTGTCATCCAGTTAGTTCAGTTTTAAGAAAATATATTTCTCTTGATTTTTTCATTATTCTAGTTCATCGATTTTATTAAAAGTAAGTCTAAGTACAAATACAATACATACTTACTATTCGAAGATATTCGCAGTAGATTTTAGTGCAGGTATTCAGGATAGCGACGCAAAGGTAGCGACCTATGTTGTTGACTCATTGCACAACTATTCTACGTGCCATCAAAAATTTTCTTTATACATGGGTAATTGTTGGAGTGTCATCTTTCAAATGATATGATAACGAGCGCTCTCCAATTCGTGTGAGCTGAGAAATCATGTGTATATACATGATACAGATATGATATGATGTTGTGAATCGTAAAATAAATAAATATGCAACGATTAATAATAACGGGTGTCCCAGGAATAATGAGCCTCTCAGTATTTTACTGATATATCCATCAAATCTGGTTTGTTCAAGGTTAATTTTTTTTCAAAAGATAGGTCTTTTTAAGCTCTACAAGATGACATATGTTTATTTTTTTAAATAACCTCCACCATTTTTTAAAAGACGATTTAAACGAGCAGTCCAAGATGAACAACTTTGCAACACAACATCTTGTCGAATTTTNAATAAAATAATTTGTTGATATATTTTTTGGTCTAGTTGAATACAATAAGTAAACATTAAATTTCGTATCACAATCTCGAATAGATAAATATTCAATATGGTCATGTGATTGAATAATTTCATTATCATCAATTAGAATTATAACAAAACTAAATACTTGGCGCCAATCTGATGTAGCTCGTATATGAATTGTAAGACTAACACGTTGATTTTGACATTGACATTAGTTACCATAGTAACTCTGTGGACAAAGACAATATGTTTTATTAAGAGTATCATTCATTCAAATACGTATCGGAAGTCCACGATTACATTGCCATTTCTCCTCTAGACTAAGATTGACTAATGTATCAGTTCGAAGAGATTGTGTTGTTGTTTGAAAAAATGGTTCTGAAGAAACTCGATCCGATATGGATTGTTTTGAATAAATCGGCATGCTACTTAGTTTGAAATAGATCATTTTTGATCGTTTAACACTCTGAAAATTATAACACAAGAAATTTTCGACTTCGTTTCGAAGAGATGATTCCAAAATAAAACAATTCGAACTAGTGGAATTTTTATAGGGCGTGCAAAATGTTTCATCATCAGCAAACCGACATCGTGCACTTCGATCACAAAAATGAGCATGCCTAATAAACTTTGATTCATTCCAACATTTGAACAGGTACGAAAAACTGTCTACTTCGTCGTATAGATTACGATATCGTTCATCAGTTGCACCTAAACAATGAATAATATCGTCACCCACTTGATGGATTGGTAAACATGATACTTTCGAAGTATCATTTTGAAAGACACATTCATGTTCATATTCAGAACAATTAGAAGATGGACAATTAACTTCATCAGCACCATTTTTACATAGCCAATATTGATCACATCTACTGTATGTATTATAACATAACCAAGAATCACATTCTGTTTCATCAGTTTCATTTTGTCCATCGATAAATATTGGTAATAAATCTTTTTTACCATCACATATTGTTTGAAAATAAATATGTTTTTCGATTAATTTTTCTTCATTTCGACGTTCGTCTACACCATTATCGCAATCTTTTTTTCTATCTTCAATAATTAATGGTACTAAACATGTTCTATAGGATCCAATGGAACACGAAAAACGACGATGAACATCAGGCAAAGAGCAACTTTCAGTAAATGTTTCATCATCATTTAATGGACAATCTTGAATTCTATCAAGTAGACAAGAGTTTGAAATACATTTAGTTGAGTTTTTACATTGATACATATTTGAATGATTGCAATAATGTGTTTCATTTGGTAATATTAAACATGTACGAAATAGATTATTAATATTTTCAATGAGCGTAAAAAAATGTATCCAATTTTTCTAATCCTAATTCATGAAAATAACGACAAGATGAATCGTTTAAATAGATAGTAGCTGGAAGGAAATCTCGACAAAGTTTTTCATCATAACATACATAAATAGATAATGAGATTTCGTTGGGTTCAATAGTAAATTGACTATTATTGAATAAAAGTTGAACATGTTTGAGTAACCTTAAAGTAGAAAAATTTAATAATGATGAACAATATTCTTCGATGCAATCGATTTCACTACAAAATTCTTGACACCACATATTGTCAAAAGCATCATAAAAATCTATACGACAATTAATAGCATTTGAACACGAATCATTAGTGAAAATATTATCACGACCATTATGACATGTTGAATCGAATTTTGTTGAACATTGTCCATTACCACATGGAAATTCATCGATTCCGGATCGACATGTATGTTCTTCGCATCGAAAAGCAGGATCTCGGTGACAACGATCAGGATAATTCGTACCTCTAAGTTCATCCGTTCGATCTAAACAATCTGGATTAAGNATTTAGGTATAATTGACATACCAAGTAATTTTTCATGGTCACAATCCCCATCTCTTCGTTCAATACGTATTTTTTCTCCAAATATAAATATAATTCCATTAATTCTTCAATCATGTATTCAATTAACTCATTTTGAAGTACGTATTACAAGTGAACATCCTTTAGATATATCGTCTTTACCAATAATATTTAATCATCCATTAAAACAATTTATTTTTTTACAATCTCAAAATTCAACATTTGTTTATGATATTGCAAATATAATATATTTAATACCAAATATAAAACGTATAGATTTACGATTATGTACAAGATCATTTATTGATTTAATTAAATTAATTTCAAAATATTTAAATGATTTAAAAAATTTTCATTGTCATATTATTGAATATCCAAATAAAGATGAAAATATTGATATTAATATATTAAGAAATATTCATCCATGTTATTCTGGTATTCAATGTACATTACGAGAAGATTGCTTTTGTTTATATACATCTAAAAAAGATCACAAATAATAAATAAAAAATGAAATTTTTCTTTTTCTGTGAATTATATTTATAATTAGAATGGATACATATATATGATATATTTTGTACATTATTTTTTGTATGCTGTGAATATTTGTGTTTTTTTTTATGTGACAAAACTAAATCGCTTTTTTTGTAGTTTTTAGTTAGACAGGATTTTTTAGATCTTATTTGTGCTATGAGGGTTTATGACTTCTATCTGAATTTTTAATTTATAGTAAACAATTTTTTAAGAATTATTATTATTTATTTTCACCAAAAAATAAAATTTTCTTTTTAGATTTGTAGATAAATATTTTAAATATATTGATACTTGAACATTACATAGTAATTTTTTTTATAATCTTAATTATCACTTTAATATTCTTCTTATTCAACATTGTATATTTTTCTATGGTTATTAAAAGATTATAATTATAATGATTTATTATTTTTCATGTGTTTATACATAAAATGATACATAATTATGTTTTTTTTTGTTTTTACTTTATCTCGATATATTACTGTCCGCCTTCTAATTCTCTTTGATTCCAAATGTCATCAAATAGCTCAAATGATTATTCAATGATTTTATTTCGAAACAATTTCACGTATATCATCACGATATTTTTATACAACATTTGGTTGCCATGAAATAATTTTGTGGAATTCGCTTTATATTTTGTCAAAGAAAAGTATAGTGAGTGAAAGTTTTACGTCAAGGTTTTACGGTTTCCTTCCTCTTTATAGCAACGGCTTGATGGAAAATACCAAGGATCATTAGATACATTTTCATAGCAGTCGAGGACAACAGTCGTTAGACTCTTTTCTCAGACCTTCTTGACGATGAAAAAAAAAAGTGCTGAAAGATATTAACAAAAAGACTTAGCCTGTTCTAAATGGTTCGAATACGTTGGTGAATGTTCTAAATAGTGTAGTTTTGATTCTTCGACGGATAAAAAATTATATTGAAAATATCTAGAATGATGAGTAGTTATCCGTCGATTTACTACGGTCATTATATAATCAACTTAAACAAGAAAGTCTAAACTAATTCAGTTATAACTTTAGGAAATAATCAATATTAGCATTTCTGAGTTTATTAAGATATATAGTAGTGTGTTGAGATCTGCTGTAGATATAATATGTATAACAGGCTTATTTTTCAATTAAATCAATGGTTTAAAATAATAATAATGCTAAATGAAGAAAGATGGAATGACGAGTGAATAGCAATTAGACACACAATAAGTAGAGCATCAATTAAAAAATGTCTGTTCGAAATGCCGAAATAAATAAGATAGATTGTTGTATTAACACTCGATTATCCATTGCAGTCTGCTAGAATTTTCTTCTTTATGTATGTTATATTACTATAATGAGGATAAAGAATACATTTGAATTTATATTTTAGCCTTGAAAGAGATATATTTTGAAATATTACACCTTGCTGAAGGCTTAAAAGAAATTTATCTTGAATAAACTTCAAAGGATACGTTCTTTTTCTATGGCGTATTTCTAAAACCAAACAACAAATATATTTGTTTCAATTTGTTTGACTTGCGTGTGTCATCATTTGACAATGACTATTTGTTATGAATATCTTTTCATATGACCAAAATAAAAGTTTTTTTTTTTTTATAACAAATAGTTTATCAATGGTCAAGATATTCAATTTTAGTAAACGGTTCGATCTTTATTAAATTGCTTTCTTTCGAGGAAAAAGTACCGAAGCTTCTTTTTTTTCTTAGATATTTATCGAGTTTTTTTTCTTTTTGATAGCATAAAATATATAATTATTTTTCAAAAAAACAAACAAACTTCCATTGAAGTACAGTCACTTTTCATGCTTAACATAATCTTTTATATTTGTGCTTATAACTGAAATGAATTGATTTCATACAAAAGAAAACAAACAAGATGAATATTATAGAATGTTACTATCTTTGTTATACTAGAATAGTTTTCTTCAGAGTGCTCGGAAAAGTATCCTACTACCTGGTATGTAGCATGGCGTTGGTGGATATACTTGTTCAGTTTCGATAGCATTGAATGAAAAACTTTTCAATAAGCTAGCTGATTGAATATTTTCGATGGAATATTTCTAAGTCTCAAATTGCTATTCAGTTAGAACTATGTGTATCATGTAGGTTTTAATGATCTATGAATACTCTGACAAGAGTTCGGATTGATACGATAAAAATACAATATCTTGGCAGTAATATGCTATGAGTTTGAGTTCATTTGAGAGTATTTATAGTTAATTAGTGCCTACATGATGTACATAGTCCCAAATCAAAAGAGATTTGACTCTTAGAAATATTCTCTCATTGGAAATATTATGAAGTGAAGTGCTAAAAAGCTCAAAAATTTCTATTACAGTTTGGTAAAGAGGGTACATTGAACTTTGTACATTCATTAGGGTAGATAAAATTTTAGGGTATTTTCTTCTTTTAGATAAATATTACATAATGAATAACATCCATTCTCGATTAGAAATGTTACCGAATGAAACGTTTATTGAAATATTTCAATATCTTGATATAGAAAATCTTTTTCGAGCATTTGATAATCTTAATTTTCGTTTTAATACAATACTTCGAAATCTCAATAATCTTGTTTGTTATCTTTGGGATAACAATTATACTAAAATGAATAGTTTTATTTCTTATATCGATACTTTAATTATTAATTGTCGAATCAATATTAATTTTAATTATTTTACAAATATTCGTTATTTAAAACTTACATGGTTGACAGATCAAATACTTGAACAACTCAATACTTCTACTCTACGTTGTTTAGAACATTTATTTGTTAAACAATTAAGTTGTAACTGTGCAGATATTTTATATGACAAAATTTTTTCTAATACTTTTCCTTGTTTAAAATCTTTTTATGTATGCCAAAATAGTAGTATAATAGCAAAAGAATGGTTCGTTTGTCTTCCTGTTCTATGCAACCTGCAAATTGGTATCATCGATCTATTTGTTTATGTAGCTATTTTATCCAAATGTCCTAATTTAAATATTTTCAAATTTCTATTAAAATCACGTGACATATCAGTTTGTGGTAAACCACATGTTAATCTCAAACAAATGACAATAAAATCTGAAGATTCTAATCTATTAAAATATGATTCAATTATTAATACTTGTCTTTCATATGTACCTAATCTTGAACGACTTAGCATTCATCAAGTTTTTTTTCAAGTAAATATTCCATATTATTTAAAAACAGATTGGCATGCATCATCAATTGCTAATTATTTACCATTACTTCATCGATTTGATTATTATTTTAAAATTTGGTATCTTGTTGGAATTAATACAAAACTAATATATACTTTTGATGAAATGAAAAGAAATTTTAAATCTGTACATAATGATCGATATCAATCAAAATTTCATTCAAATTTAACATGTTAATTAATTATTTTCTTATATAATTTTTTCATGGTGATAAATTAAAAAATATTTTTTTTTTAATTTTTGAAAATGAGAATGCTATTGTAATTTTGATCTTTTTTTTTAGATAAATTAAAAATAAAAAACAAACCGAGTATTAATCTATTTCGATTAGAATTCTTATTGAATGAAACACTTATCTCAATATTATTAATTCGTTTTTATAATCATATTTTATTTTACGTTTTCGAATGATGATTATTGCAAAACATTCGGTACAATTATGTTTCTTCTATTATGCTGAGCTTCGAAAACAAGCGGATTTTACTGAAATTGGCCGAATAGATGCTCGAAAATCATTGTATCTGGTAGGAAAACATTAGAAATCAATGAAATTTTGAGACAGTATTGAGAGTCAGGAAGTCTTAGGAAGAAATCCAGAAGCTTTTCGATCCCTAAATTTCATTAATTTCCGAGGTTTTTTTTTGCCGGAATCGGCTCGTATTTCTTAACCGCAGTATAGATATTTTATTTACTGATTATAGATTCGATGTATGTTTAACCCGTTTTTCAACCGTTCGTTGTCTTAGTATAGTACAAGTAAGTGATAAATTGTCGCACTAACATAATGCCGACATTTCCTATGTTCTCGCAAGGATTAAATACGGGTGAATGTAAACTCAATAACTCGGCAATAGCAACAGCGATTGACCTACATCATCTTCGCAAAAAAAAAGACGACATCCGGAGTTTTCCTCTTGCAATTGATGAAAACCGCAGGTCGCTAACTGTTACCATTATCTAGTTATTAAGACTACGCCTACTCTCTTTTAATTCTGATACGGGCATTGGTTTTTCGTTTTTGGAACATTTGATAATAAAGAAAACTACTATATACTTTACATAATGAAAATCTTTTTATTTGCTAGAAGAAAGTCAAATGAGTATAGAAGAACAGTATATTGAAATGCCATCGCTATAGATTTTACAGGTTGGATATATAAATTTGTTTACTAACGAATCTATTCTAACAAATATCAAATAGATATACACCAAATATTAAGTCTTGTACGATGTGAATGTTATAGATTCTCATCTTTATTCACATCCCAATTATCTATCATTCCTTGGAAATTAAAAATTAATTAGAATGTAGAATTAACTGCTTGTTTAAGAGTAGCCTACTTCGTTTTGCATTTATCACATTCCTACATTCACACATATGTGATTTTATCACAAACAGTACAGCATGACACAAACCAATTCCTATTTTCTCTGATATAATGCTTTTTTGCGTAATTCGAAAGATCACTTGAAACTTCGTATTTATTTTCACATCAAGCGTTCATTGTTTTTTCGCTATTACTAATAAAATTTCTTCGATGACGATAAGTTTTTGATGTTGCGATCAATTCTACACAGCAGGTTACTATCTAAGGCTTGCTATAAATGCGAAAGTTTTATTTTGTTATTTATTGATACACCCGACTGATTAATACTAATTAATGAAATTGTAACTATTCATTTGTTTTGTTTTCATACTAAAGAATATCTCAAGTTTTTTTGGTTTTTGTTTTTTAGATTTCAATTATAAAAAATGAGACATAGTTTTTCTCGATTAGAGCATTTACCAAATGAAATGCTGGCTGAAATATTTGAATATATTAGTACTCAAACTCTTTTTCAACCTTTTTATAATCTCAATTATCGTTTAAATACAGTTATTCAGTCTCTTAATAGTCATTATCTTTCACTTACAACAACAGACTGTGATCAAATAGAACGTTATAATTTTATTGCACCATATATTAGTATTCTATTGATTGAAGGTAGAGCACAATTAAATTTAAATTATTTTACAAATATTCGTCGTCTTATTCTTATACAATCAACTGATGAATTTGTTGAACAACTCGAAAGAGTTCATCTACCATACTTAGAACATCTTGTTATAAATTTAGGAAATCGAAGAGAAAATGATTGTATGCCTTATTATTGGAATAGAATCTTTTCATATGATTTACCTTATTTAAATATTTGTTGTATGTATAATATAAATTTAACATGGACATGTTCATCTTGGAGACAAATGTTATCATTACATATTTTAAAAATTGGTGATATTGATATACTTGTCTATGAATTAATTTTATCATCATGTCCTAATTTATGTTTTTTTAAATTTACAAGATTAATATCAAATAAGAAACCAACGAATATTATTCAACATATGAATTTAAAAAAATTAATTATTGTAATACCATGGTTTGAAGAACTTTCACAAGATTGTTTGATGAATGATTTTTTTTCATATGTACCAAATTTAGAAAAACTTATTTTTCATCGAACAAATGAAAGTAAAGCTATAAATGAAAATTATTTACAATATGATTGGTATATATCATCGATTACATCATATTTACCATTACTTTCTCATTTTATTTATTATTTTCATATATTAAAATCTAATTGGTTAATTAATTCAACTCATCCAAATATATTCGATCAAATTCAAGAACATTTTAATTATATTCATCGTCATGTATATCAACGTCGATTTATTCTTGATTTAATGGGATAAAATCATATTTATTTATAATTCAACATTGTAATTCAATACGATAAGACTAATCTCAGTAGAGTAGACCTTCGATATATGTGATAATTATATACATAAATAAATTCAGAGATGTACACTACCTCTAACAGCAAGTATAACTGATTTTTTGGGTCGCCACGCCCTTTATCATACATTGCTGGGACTTTGAAAAAAAAAAAACACCATTTATATAAAACGCTGAAAGTTACGAAAAAAAAGAATTCAATCGTTGATGAATTCGTTCTTTATGAGATATTGTTAATTTTTGTGAAACGTGATCTAAAAGGAGTGTTGAAATTTATAAGCATAGATTTAGACTAAGTGCAACCCGCCTCCTACTCCTATAGACTGACAGACACTTTGGCCACCCATCACAGACAGTGACAGACACTATTGATATACAATTTTTGATTGTATATAAATAACAACTCGTTATAGTATATATCAACTACTTCCTTATTACATTTCTCGAGAATTAAGTAACAGGATGATGAAGAAATGTATCCCAAAATACATAGAATAAAGCAATATCACTGTGATTAGCAACAACAAGTAGATTTTGTTTCATAGTTTTGTCTTTCTGGGATTACGCTAACAACTCTTTATTACATGATTTTGATAGTCATTGGTTGAATTAATAAATTAAGGCGTAACTAATATTGATTAAAAGAAACACCCTACCTATAAGTATATATGCACGTCAGATTATGCCTTACCTAATTATATATTTTTTTGTGGTGTTTTCGACTTAATATTGTGCTTCATTCCCGATTTTTCAAGAAATATTATATCATCACAAATGTGAGAAAAAAAAGCTGTTAGTGCAGTCTATAGATATATTCCTTCATTTGTCCGTTAATTAATTCTCCAAAAATACAATAAGAAGGTAGTTCATATATGATAACGAGACGTTATTCATGTACGACCTTTGATTGTATATATCTACAATGTTTGTCATATCTGCAGGGGAGGATGAATGGATCCAAATTTTTATTCATATTCTTCAACACTCCTTTTAGATCGTGTTTGACAAAAAAAAGTAATGAAAAAGATTTCTCGAGTTATCGTTGTGCACGGCAATCAAACATCAGGCTACCTTCTATCTTGTGTTTTAGACGTGGTGCGCATCTCTGAAAGAAACCTACATTATGCCAAAACTCGTCTTTCATATTTTGAACTAGATGTATTTTTAAATATTGAATCGGTGCACTCACTATTTTTGTGAATTTGAATAAAAAAAAGAAGAGATTTTTCATGCTAAATGTTCGTTTTGTCCGTGTATATATTGAGAATGTCTGAATTAAATCTCCAACTTTTGTGATTTATTATTTTTAAATTTTAACATACTGTTGAAATAGTAAAGAAATTCATATTATGTTCTTTATTAATTTAAATAAAAGACCTTTATTTTTTTTTCTAGATTTAATTTTTACAAAATAGGTAATCAAATATATCAATTGAAACGTAATTCTTCTTCATTGATTTCAATGCTCGAGATTAACACATGAGAAAATGACGTCTAGAAAAATTCAACGATTGTGGAGAATCTTCGAGAAACTTTTTTAGTTTTAAAGGTACAGTTTCTATATTTTATAAACATCTACCTTAGCTTATTCATATCAATGTTAAAGAAGTTTTCTAGAAATTACTTACTCATGTTTTTAACGGTCGATTTTAGTTGTAAACCTTTCCTAATCTCATAACTGAATAGTACATTCAAGAACGATTCCAACATATATAAAATTAACAATTAAATCGTGATTTTAGTTCGAGAATTTAAGTTTTACGAAATCCTGAAGAAGTTAAATTGTCTAATAAACTTTTCAATATAAAAAAAAATATTGAAGAAAAACTTTTTCGCTTAATAAAGTGGTTATTTCATGGACTAGCAGTTTTATAGTTTCAATTAGAGAAATTTTAAAAATTAAGTGTTAACTTGAATTATTCCTAGAAGTGATATTCGAAAACCATCATGATATCAATTTCTATTGCGTTAGCAAGTTTGATTCGATGGAAATGAATTCGACGTAATTATGACACATTTCTTGTGATGACATCTATGAAAACTATTCAACAGAATTAAATATTAATCTCAGCTAATTATTTATTGTACGCTCAGGATTTGTCTGTTTATGCAGATTTAAGAATTATAATACTTCTTCAATTAAGAAAATATTCCATTTGAATTAAAAACTTTGCTTGCATACTGCTAAAGAAAAATAATTTCTTCTCCCAAAAAAAACCTGTGCGCGCAACTCTCTAAAGTCGACTAGCATGAACCAACTTAACGTATGCTTTTATATTAAAATTTCTAATATCTATATAAATGGAGTTTAATATTGCAAATATCATATCGAACATATCAAATTTTAACAATCGATGTATACATTTATATATTTATTCAACGATTATACGCAATTCATATTTTCTTCGATCTCAAAGATAAATAGCAAGTGATAAATCAACTGATATCAAATCACACGTCAGTTACAAAGAAGTGATGGGAGTGATCGTATGATTTAAACTCAACATCATTTCGACTATGTTCACCATTATCTATATCAACATTGGTTTATTATTGATTTAACAAGATAATGATATTTTAACGATTGGTTTCAAACTTTTTTTTTCTTCGTTCATTTCAAGCTAAAATTGAAACAGGCGATTAAATCTGATAAATTCATTTTCCATATAGAAAACCTTTGAAATATATGTAAACCAAACTAATAAAGAACCCAATATTAGCTTTGTGGCATATTTTCTTTTCATATCATGAATGAAGATCATTATTTTGTGATTTATGATATAATAAATATTTTATGACTTCAAGTTGTATACGTCTCGGTTAACTTTAATAATACACCAATAAAAACTTCAAGGTATTCTGATTTATTGTTTCTAAGCATGATCAAAAACCATTCGTCGAATAAACACGTTGTTGCACAGATGGACAAAATATTACAATATATTCGTACATTACCAATTATTTTGTATCAAAAGGACAAATTTCTAGCAAGATTTCTTTGGGTGTACTTACAGAAAAATCTTGATAAGTTAATAAATATATTTGTTCTATTGCAAGTCAAGATTCAATTTGTTTTGAAAACTTTATTTTCATGATTTTTCTTTATTTATTATCATTACTCTCTCTAAAATTCGTTGATGAAGCACGAATATATTTTAACGTTTTACTCATGCGTTGATTTATTTTCCTTGGCCAAATCATACAGCATGTCAATGGTCGTATTCGACTAAGATGCAATATTTTTCAACCGAGAAATGGTGAACATATACGCTACAACATATATACTTCAGTATTATATATGATGTTCGCTTACGCACTATCTTTGACCGTCGTGTGCACAACATATTTGTATTATCCTATAAAATAACCGCATACAATAACCGTTGGCATGGCATACCTACGGCATATATAAAACATATTATTGAAGAGTCGCCCATTCATAGTTTGCAATGGCATAGAATCGATAGTTTTCATCGATCTATTTGAAAGTGCTTCTGACTCATGTTTTACGACGATTCATATTGACGTCATTCTTACCTTTATAGATACATATGACTTTTTCTACAATGGAATATATTACGTTGAAAAAAAATCTTAAATTATATTTATTTTATTTCGATTAGTCATAACAATTGCGCTTGTAAGTGTTATTTTAAGAATAGAAATTATTTTTTGTTTTTATGAAGGAAGAGAAAAACAAAGAAAAACAAAATCACCTCTACTCTCTCATTGACAAAACATGCATGTGAGTAAGATAACACGTGATATCGTATTTTGTGATGATGTAGCATATTATTTACGACAAAAGTATAACTAGACTGGGTCAGTGTATTTTAGCCGTAGGCATATCGAATACAATACAGCTTCAATATAGGCGTAAAACAATGGGTTGGCTTACAAAAAAAAATACAATAATCGTAATCCAATTGTTCTATGATGAAAATTCAAAGCATTGTGTCTAAAGATGAATGCAGTTTTGTTTTCAAATAGTAAACATATTGATAGTGTATTATGTATGAAGATAAGTAAAAATTTACGGACTGTTTTTTTCTTTGTTTTTATTTTAGATTTTATTTTTATGAAATGAATTGTGAGTTATCACGATTAGAACAATTACCTAATGAACTTCTTATTGATTTATTTCAATATTTTGATGCTCGAGATTTATTTCAATCGTTTTATAATCTTAATTTTCGTTTAAATACATTAATTAAATCTTTTCATCATCTTCATCTTATATTTCACATTGAAATATTTCTTGATAATCAAATAGATGATAATGATTATTTTCCTTTTTATGTTTATACACTTATTGTTGGTCGAGCAATTAATATTAATCTTAATCAATTTTTAAATATTCGTTGTCTTAAATTAGAATGTCCATTAAAAAGAGTTTTAGAACAATTAAATTCAAATGTATTACCTTATTTAAAACATCTTTCTATATCACATTTAGGTATTAAAATATATTTTCAATAATGATTTATTTAATTAAAAAAAAAAACAAATTTCTTTTTTAATATTTCAAATAGATATATTAATAACAATTGATGAATGGATATCATTACCATCATTATGTACATTGAAAATTTCTTGTATTACTTCAATAGCTTATAAAACAATTTTAACAGCATGTCCAAATTTAGTATATTTTGAATTATCAATATTTAGTTCAGATCAATTAAAAATAAATATAGAACCACATATGAATCTTAAAAAAATGATAATTAATGTTATAGATATGATATGGCCTTGGAATGATCAAGTATTTCATAGTTATTTATCTTGTATACCTAATTTGGAAAAACTTGATGTATATAGATCAATATTTATTTCAAAAATTCGAGAATCTCTACTTGATTATGATTGGTTAGCATCAAAAATTGATTTATATTTATTATTACTTCGTCGTTTTAATTTTTATTTGAAAATTATTCAAGCAGAAATATTTACTGAACCGAATGTTGAAAATATTTTACATCAAATAGAAAAAATATTTTTAAATAATCATAATAATCGATATAAATCTCGTTATATTATTTATAGATAAGAACAATGAAAAATAATATTTATTAATCTTTTTTTAAATATCTGAAATATGTTGTAAATAGGTCTTTTTTTAAGTAATACATTAACGAATTAGATAATACAAGTGTTGTATTTTCATAGAAAAAAAAACAAAATAATTATTTATTTTCTTTCTTTCTTTTTAGAGAATCATATGAAATAAATAATATAGCGTCTGGAATGTAATTAGATAACAAGTCTTTTGCAATAATTATTCTATCAGGGCAACAAGTTTTTACAAATCTTTCAAGATAAATATATCAAACAACTTTTGAAACTCAGGTGAATGTAAGTAAACACTGTATGCTCCTAGAATCTAAACTCATAAGACTTAATAAAGATAAGAGTTGAGTGCAAAAATACAATGATATATTCAATCGAGATTTAAAAGGAAAATTTAACAGCAACATCAGAATAATCAATAAAAAATTTGAACAAATTCCGATTCACTAACAGAACTAATTAACAATTTGAATATATAAGTAATGATAATTTTTTTTTCATAGAATGAAATGAATATGCTCATTGATATAAAGGACTGAATTCACCAATGAGCTATCGCACTTCTGAATTAGTTCAACACGATCAAAGCATGAAAACGATAGTTCTTGAGTGACCTGTCTGGTAGAAAATTCTTTTGAAATACAGTCTTTTTTTTCCTCATAGTGACCAAAGGACAAGTGGCGGTAAGGCCACTTTTTCGCTCCAAATACTTCGCAAAAAAAATTACATATTCAGAATCAGAACTGCATTCTGAGTAAAATAAGGTCTTTTTTCTGGCGAACAATGCTTTTCATTTTTCACCTGGTTTTTAACACCTGTGGCGGACCCCAGAGTTGTCGAAAATTTGTTTTTCCTAAATTCTATTGAGTTATACCTCATCAGGTGCAGATTTTCACGCTGATTTTGAATTTCAGGTTGAATTTTGAAAAGAACGAACTATAATCGAGAAAAATAGA